TATAGATGGACAGTTCTCTCACACCAGAAGTGACTTGCAGTTTCTCAAGTTGCTCCTGACACGAAAAGGACAGTCTAGAGTTGTGTTTCCTGGTGTTTTGGACTTCAGCTTCCAGAATGCCTGATGGTTGGCAAAGGCAGCTAGAGCTTCTGGGAGTTGAAGTCAAAAACTCCTGGAGGACTGGAGTTTGGAAATCACTGGTCTGAAATATTATTGCTCTTTGGAATCATACAGAATGGAGTATGCTCACTACAGAATTGCAGAATGGTGAAGAACTGAAGACATTTCTTTCTCTACCTCATCAGTGTAGCTATGGGAGGACAAATTCCCCAAAAAATAATTCTGTCTTCTTGAAATTTTCATCAAATCTCAAAATGTTTAGCATTATAGGAACTTAACACTTCAGTTTAGCATTTAGAAATATAGGTATTGGTCCATTATTTGGGCGGAGGCCACAAGGGGGCACTAGACAGAGAATGGTAGTCCATTTTACAAGGTGGGGGGGAGGAGTAGAAGAAGTAAAACCATTTCCCACATTTTTGCTGGTTATTCCACCTCCCCCATCCCATTTTATAAACAAGTGTTGTTTCCACACTTACTTAGGTGATCCCTCGTTGTCTGAATAGGTTTGTCTTCCAAGATCGGTGTACTGACGGTGGGTCCGTAGGTGACTGTGGAGCTCTATTCTTGATCTGCATCTTCTCCCATAATGAGGGTATTGGTTACCAGGTGGAAGACAGTCCCGGTCAGCGTTGGCTTGACGCGCCTTCCTCTTGGCACGTTTCTCTCTTTTGTCCTCCATTTGTGCCTCTTCAAATTCTACAGCACTGCCAGTCACAGCTGATCTCCAGCTGGAGCGCTCAAGGGCCAGGGCTTCCCAGTTCTCAGTGTCTATACTAGAGTTTTTAAGGTTGGCTTTGAGCCCATCTTTAAATCTCTTTTCCTGCCCACCAACATTTTGTTGTCCCCATTGTTTTCACAATGGGGACATGGGTGGGGGGAATAACGGGAAAATTGAGAAGAAATTATTTTCCTCTTTCAACATGCGCTCCACCCTCATATAATGGACTATCCTTCTCTGCCTAGTGCTCCCTTGTGGCCTCCCCCCGGATAATGGAACAATACCGAAATATAGTTTAAACATCCCAAATGTTTCCAAGGAAGTACAAATACAGTAAATCAGGCATGGGTAAACTTTGACCCATCAGGTATTTTGGACTTAAATTCCCAGAAAGCCTAGCCAGCTTACTGGCTGTTAGAAATTGTGGGAGTTGAAGTCCAAAACATGTGGCGGGCTGAAGTTTGCCCATAACTGCATTAAATACAAAAGGTGCAAAAGAGTTTCATTGACTTCAATTGACAACAATTGATAGAAGTTTGGAGAAAATATTTATTATGAGGATGCAATGCCTTTATTTTGCCCCATCTTGCTACACCATGTCTTCTCTGTTGCAGCCATAATTACTTATCACAAGATGCTTTGAACTGTGTGCATCTTTGGTGTTGACTGATGCTTCATAGTGACAGATTGCACTGGGTTTGTGAATATAGGTCAGCCCAGGGACATGTATTCCGGCTTGGACATTTCTAAAATGCGAAAGTTGATCTAAGGATGCACATATAAAGAGCAAAATATGAACTTGATACCAAGTAAATATTAGCTAAAAGCCCGAGAGCCAGAGAATATTGGTTTTAAAGCCTCCAGCCTGGCATTGGGGGCTTTGAATCCTTGAATTATGCCCAGGTCACAGTTGGAGAACATTAGGGTCCATGGACTGAGCTTAGTTCTAAGAGACTTTAGACAAGGACTTAACCAACTGAATCTGCACTCTCCAAGGGACCTTCCACACAGTACATTATCTGAGTGTGGACTCAGATAACCCAGGTCAAAGATATCGTGGGATTTTCTGTCTTGATATTCTGGGATATAGGGCTGTGTGGAAGGGCCCAAAGGCCTATATTCCCTAGGACTACTATCTTAGAATAAGGAAGAGGACTTCCTACATTTCTATGGTAGTACTGCTATCATTCCAGAAAGTGCATTATCTTCCTAGATAATTCTGGAAAGACCTGCTTCTCTAGAGTGTTCAGCTCAGGAAACTCCAATAAGGATCCCTTAAGGGGAAGCATGGCGCTAGAGCAGTGGTTCTCAAGCTGTAGGTCCCCAGGTGTTTTGGCCTACAACTCCCAGAAATCCCAGCCAGTTTATCAGCTGTTAGGATTTCTGGGAGTTGACGGCCAAAACATCTGGGGACCCACGGGTTGAGAACCACTGCACTAGAGCAAGGTCAGAATTGTGTGGCCCTACAGATGTTAATAGTGAAGAGTAGAGACATCAGACTGACAACAAAGATCCGCCTAGTCAAAGCCATGGTATTCCCTGTAGTCACCTACGGATGTGAGAGCTGGACCTTAGGGAAGGCTGAGCGAAGGAAGATCGATGCTTTTGAGCTGTGGTGTTGGAGGAATGTGCTGAGAGTGCCTTGGACTGCGAGAAGATCCAACCAGTCCATCCTCCAGGAAATAAAGCCCAACTGCTCACTGGAGGGAAAGATACTAGAGACAAAGTTGAAGTACTTTGGCCACATCATGAGGAGACAGGAAAGCCTAGAGAAGACAATTATGCTGGGGAAAGTGGAAGGTAAAAGGAAGAGGGGCCGACCAAGGGCAAGATGGATGGATGGCATCCTTGAAGTGACTGGACTGACCTTGAGGGAGCTGGGGGTGGTAACGGCCGACAGGGAGCTCTGGCGTGGGCTGGTCCATGAGGTCACGAAGAGTCGGAGACGACTGAACGAATGAACAACAACAGATGTTAACCTGAAACTCCAATAAGGCTTCGGTATCAACAAGAACGACGCTAGTGCATCCAATGGGTTCACTTCACTTTTGATACTTCCTGTTGGTTTACATTTTGTAACAGAGGACCAGTAAGCAAAGATGGACCTTGGAACCCAGGGCAGTAATTTCTGCTGTGCTTGCCCCCATGTTGGAAATAACTGAATCCATACCAATGCCATTACATACAGTAGGAATAGAGCAAAAGAGGCAGGACTCTTCAGCATGATGTGAATGGATGACATTCATTCCCTGCTCCTTGATTCTTGGAGAATATTGTTGTGTGTTCCAGGCAATGTCCTCTTGCAATCTGGTGAAGAACTGGCCCTCCCCAGTATTGAAATAAACTTAATTTGCTATCCTGATAACTTCTGTAAGTGTAATGGGAGAAACTGGTCCTTTATCTCGAGTGGAAAAATATTTATAGAGATTTTGCCATTGCCTTTCTCTTTGTCTAAAACAGTGGCTCTCAACCTGCTATCCATGGACCACCAGTGGTTCGCAAGAACTAAAATATGGTCTGCCGCCTAATTGTTACTACACTGTTGCAACGAGAGCGACCGGTCTTGTGAAACCCTCCTATAGTGCCGAGGCTTATTAAATGTGGTTTTCTGTGGGCGAGTAGATGGCAACTACTCGATGGCATATGTTCTGTATCAGAAACTAGAGCTGATGTAGTCTATCCAATGCAATTTTCCAAATCATCACTCCAAATAACCAAATCAAATTGAAAGCTAACCAAAAACTGATTCGTAACTCTTTTGATACTAATGTTGGAGAGTGGTCCTTGGTCAAAAAAAAATCTAAAATCACCCAATCGGTTTCTATGGCTGGCCTTTTTAGATCTTTCCATACACATACTTCACTAGCAGAACAACTATTCATCATCATTCTTGTGATAGAAACAACTGTTTCGTTCTGTTTCGTTCTGTTAGAAGAACCCAGGGACCTCCTGATCTATGAGAATGTGGAAGCTTTTAACATAATTGTCAACAACCTTACAAGACCCAGCATTTTTGAGAAGATTAACATAGGGTTCAAATCTTGGTTTGAGATTATAATTTAGTTTTCAAAGATCACGAGCCTTTGGATAGAAATTAAGTGCCTTTTCATTTTATATCTGAAAATCCATATTTAGACATCCTCGCTTTCAGATGTTTTTAAGTGGTTCAAACAGATCTTCCTCGCTTATTGTGGCAATTGTTATTTTCAAGAGAATTTTTGAAAATGTACCAGACAAACCAAATACAAATGTCAAAATAGGAAATTTATTTTATTATCTTTTCACATGTCTTTTGAATAAAAAAGCAGTTCAATTTTGTGAGAGAAGTGTGTGTTGATCATTTAGAGTTTTAAAAATTATATTTTATAAAAACCAAAATAAGTTGCAAGAGGAAAGCGCATTTTATGCTATATCTCACTGACTTCAATGGGATAAACTGGCCTCAGTTGTTTGCAACTCATACAAGAACATTTTTGCTCTCTTACTGGTAAATATTCAAGACGGCGTTAAATGCAATCAGAAAGCCAAATGGATCTCTTGTTTCTAATGAACAAGGTCAGTACGATGTGCTGCACACTGAACTGACATTCGAAGAGCAAAACTATCCAAATGAAACATTGATTGCAGATGACTTGTACCAAACTCCAATCGCAGCAAAAGTGCTTTAGTCAACATTTTCCAAATCATACCTTCTATTTATTGTCAAAGGCTTTCATGTCTGGAATCACTGGGTTATTGTAGGTTTTTCGGGCTACATGGCCATGTTCTAGAAGCATTCTCTCCTGACGTTTTGCCTGCATCTATGGCAAGCATCCTCAGAGGTTGTGAGGTCCTCACAACCTGAGGATGCTTGCCATAGATGCAGGCAAAATGTCAGGAGAGAATGCTTCTAGAACATGGCCATGTAGCCCGAAAAACCTACAACAACCCATACCTTCAATTGTATCTAGTTGGTTTTACAGTGAATAATATCTATCCTTTTGGATAATTGCGACCCCATCGGTTTTTTAAGATCATTACTTTTGCAATAATTTTGTATTGTGGGGCAAGGAAAAGAGGTTTACCAATGTTACCAATGACACCCACAGTATTTCCCTCCTCAAAAATTTGTAAAGCATTGTGTTGCTTTTGGAGTCCCGAGAGGTGGCTGGTCTATTCTCCACTTTGACCAGCAGAGAAAATGACTGAACTATGGGTCTTTGCCTGGCACAGCTACAATCTGTTTTAATCTAGGATGTGGTGGTTGAGAGGGGGAAAAACTTACATAACATCGTCAATTGTGAATTCTATGACTCAGGGCCCTTCCAGACAGGCTTATATCCCAGGATCTCATCCCTGATTTTCTGCTTTAAACTGGATATGAGTCTATACTGCCAGATAATCTGGGATAAACAGAAAACCTGGGATCGGATCCTGGGATATAGGGTCTGTCTGGAAGGGCCCTCTGGGAGCAGCCAGAATAGTAAAGGAATCTGGCAACATAACAGGCAAGGAACTAAGGGACACACAGATGGACAGAGAACATCCCCAAAGGCAGTTTTTTTTGTCAAGGGTAAAGGGTTGGTGTGGATTGGTTTTGGGCAAGGATGAAATTGAGGATGCCATTTGCCACGTCCAACGTTTCATCTTTCTCCAGCACAATGTCATACGACTCCATGTACTTCCCTCGCTGTTCCTCTACCTGCAATGGAGGGAGAATTAGAAGCGTTTATAAGATTGGCATCAAACAGCATACAAAACCTGCACGGCCTAACTAAATATATATTACTATTACAGTGCTGCTCCTGAGAATCCCAGGGTTTCCTGGAAAGTTTCCTGAAATGTAGTTTGTTCTTAATCACTGACATTTTCCTGTAATATTCTGATGCAGGGAATTGTTTGGGACTACCATTTTTTCCGGCATATAAGACAACTGGGCATTTAAGATGACCCCCAACTTTTCCAGTTAAAATATACTCGCCGTATAAGACTACCCTCTTCCAACGCACACCAAATAAAATTTAAAAAACATCAGATTTGATTACAATTTGGTAATTTTCCTATTACTGTACCTCCTTCTCTGCCTCTCAGATCTCGCACATGTGCACCTGCAGTGCTTCACTCTATCATACGAAAGCTGACTGGCACAACCTGGGGATCACAACCAGACACAGTGAAGACATCTGCCCCTTGTGCTATGCTACTCTGCTGCTGAGTATGCATGGCCAGTGTGGAACACATCTCACCCCACTAAAATAGTGGATGTGGCTCTTAATGAGACATGCCGCATTATCACGGGGTGTCTGCGCCCTACACCACTGGAGAAATTACACTGTCTAGCCGGTATTGCACCACCTGACATCCGCCGGGAAATAGCAGCCAATAGTGAAAGGACCAAGGCAGAGACATCTCCAGCTCATCCCTTGTTTGGTCATCAGCCAGCACATCAACGACTTAAATCTAGAAATAGTTTTCTAAGATCTACAGAGACACTCACTGGAACATCCCAGCAAGTGAGAGTCCAAAAGTGGCAGGCTCAAACCCAGAACCTCAATCAATGGCTGGAAGCAAATGAGAGACTCCCTCCTGGGCACACAGAAAAGTGGGCGACTTGGAAGGCGCTAAACATGGCCGACATATAAGGATATTCTAATTAAAAGAGATCGGACATTCAAATTGAAAACTCAGGAAGACATTTCATGCAAGTATTAAAGTGTATCCTGGTTCCAGTATATACAAATTAGGGAACATTATAATTTGGATAAGAAAACTGGATTTAGCGATAATGAGGAATTCTGGGATAAAATACAAATAAGGAAAATAAAATAATTCAAGATTATATAATAAACTAATTGGCTAGGCAACAGAAACAGAAGAGATTAAAAATTCTATGATTCGGTGGGCTAAAAATATTGGTAGAACAATCCAATTATGGATGAAATGCCTAAAATATACATATGCTTCAGATCTCCAGGAGAACTGGCTAAAGATGGCACATCATTGGTATATGGCTGAAACTGATAAATTAATTTTGGCTTTACGACAAACATACAAAAATTTAAAGAAAAACGGCAAACCTTTATCGAATGTATTAAAAAAATCAGAAGATGATTACAACAGGATCTGTTGACTAAAAACAGCACTACTGACCTATACATACATTTTGTATTACTTATTTACCTGACATTTAAGAGACTTTGGGTAATTGATGTGTTAGTACCCCCTAATTAGATTTGGATTGTTTACACAGAAATACATAAACTTTGTGTAATGTTCAAAAAAGGGAAGAAAGGGTGATAGTGAAACATAGTAAATGTTTGTCTACCCAATGCTATTTTACTAACTGATTAAATTAAACTGTTAAGATTTATTAGGTAATAACTAAAATTAGATACCAGATTTAAAACAAACAATTTGATAAAAAATAATGAAGATGACGTGGCAGGATTTACCCCCATTCTGACAATGTATCAAATTGTCTCAACTCACCCGGTCGTTCAAGAAACCAATCCGGAGGATATTTTCGACATCAGCAACACCATCCGCCATACTGAGGTCACCCATGGAGTCTCCGAGAAGTAAGATATTTGTCCTTGTACAAAGCTGCTGGAAATACTCCGTATCCTTCAAGACTGTATTGTTCTTGTTGTAGGTGTGGATGAGGGGCCCTTTGAACCCTTGCAAGACACCCTGTATGGGGGACATATAAGACAATTTGGTGTTTTTGGATGAGATGCAGCCAGTAGAATTTGGGCAATCTTTCCCCCTCCCTTTTCCTGGCAGGCTACTATTGTTTCAATTTCTTTAGAAAGAGACTTGAGGCCAAATGGATTGAAATTTTAGTTTCTTGGTCCTCATTTTTTAAAAAGTCAACATGCCAAATTGTTCACCATATAAGCATTGGGTGCACCACTAATACTATATGCAGCACTTCCTTCCTTAATCTAGAAGTCACTGTTTAAAACAGAATTAGTCTAACTTATATCTACTGAAATAAGTGAGCACTTATTTTATATTATGGTAGTAATAAATCAGTGGGGTTTTTTTGTGAGAGTTTATTTTGTTATAGGTCCAGTTCTACCTAGGTCCACCTCATATTTCAACTTGACTCTTCAGTCTGCATAATTTCTAGCTTGTATAACTCCATCTGTTTTGACTATACTTAGATCCAAGCTCATGTCTTTTATAATATAGTTCAATCACTGGATCCAAAAGTGTTTTCATCTTAGCAAAGCCTAGAGAAAGGCTGAGTAACTGTAGAAGGCCCAGGCATCAGAAGGACCATACCTCCATTATACTCTTTGCAAAAGAGTAAAATAAAATAAAAGTGGTATGCCCCAATGCATTCTAGTAGACTTGGGAGCATGCTTGGCATGTTTTAAGGCCCTGGAGAAGTATTTTAACAATGGGAATTGAGCAGACATCACTTCTTATTCACTTTAAGCTTTTTTTTTTAAAAAAAAGGCCTATTCCGGGTCTCATTCGTTCAGGGGACCTAGAAAGCATTTGAGAACATTTGGGGAAAAAATATGTTTTTGTAAAAAATTATTGATCCTCGAGACGCCCTGAGGGCTACAAAGACAGTCCTGGGAGCTGAACCTTCCCCATCTCTGGACTGTATTCTTCTAGATAACCTCAGAAGACATATAGGTGCTTTCCACTTAGTAATACTTAGCTCCGATCCCTAGACAATTGGGGCATCATTTTCAACCATTTCTCTAGTGCTTAGAAGATGGTCCATGCTGGGGAGGATGAGGCTATAGGAGAGAGACAGACTAAACCCACACTGTCATCAAAGTCCATATAGTTGGAGACCACATTGACATTAGGATGGAACGCACCGGCTTGGCGTATTATTTCCTCCAGCACATCACCCACACCTGCTGAGAAGATGAACAGGGGAACTTTGTTCTGATGGAGCTGGTCAAAGAAAGTGTTGAAACCATCTCTGGATTGCAGAAAGAAATAAAAGAATAAACAGATTGTTTAGCTCAGGAGTGGGTATCGTATGGTCCATGGGCTTCGCACAGCACACTGGGGAGAGATCTAGTGCAGCCCTTGAGATTCCCTCCGGTTTCCAACTGTTAGGGAAAACTACCATAAAATAAAGCAGAGCATCCAAAACACAATCAGGATACAAAAGTTGAGCATCAGCTCGGCCTGTCATTGAACATCGAGAAAATCAAAGTGCTGTTCCAGCAGTCACCAGCCAATCCCTCTCCAATGCCAGAGATACAGCTTAATGGTGTAACATTAGAAAATGTTGCCCATTTCCGCTACCTTGGCAGCCACCTCTCCACCAAAGTCAACATTGACACCGAAATACAACACCGCCTGAGCTTTGCGAGTGCAGCATTTTTCTGAATGAAGCAGAGAGTGTTTGAGGTCCAGGACATCCATAGGGATACCAAGGGGTTGGCTGGTGACTGCTGGAAGAGTACTTTGGTTTTGTGTGAAATGTCCAGGGTGAGAGAAAGAACTCTTGTCTGTTTGAGGCAGGTGTGAATGTTTATAAAGCTATTGTCCTCCCAACCCTGCAAAACGTGGACAGTCTACAGACACCACATGCAACTCCTGGAACAATTCCATCAGTGCTGCCTCCGGAAAATCTTGCAAATCTCTTGGGAAGACAGGTGGACAAACGTCAGCATGCTGGAAGAAGCAAAGACCACCAGCATTGAAGCCATGGTCCTCCGCCATCAACTCCGCTGAACCGACCACGTTGTCCGGATGCCCGACTACCGTCTCCCAAAGCAGTTGCTCTACTCCAAACTCAAGAACGGAAAACAGAATGTTGGTGGACAGGAAAAGAGATTTAAAGATGGGCTCAAAGCCAACCTTAAAAACTCTGGCATAGACACTGAGAACTGGGAAGCCCTGGTCCTTGAGCACTCCAACTGGAGGTCAGCTGTGACCAGCAGTGCTGCAGAATTTGAAGAGGCACGAATGGAGGGTGAAAGAGAGAAACGTGCCAAGGGGAAGGCGTGTCAAGCCAACCCCAACCGAGACTGCCTTCCACCTGGAAACCAATGCTCTTACTCCAGGAGAATATGAAGATCAAGAATAGGGCTCCACAGCCACCTACAGACCCACCAGAATACTGATCCTGGAAGACAATCCTACTCGGCCAATGAGGGATCGCCTAAGTAAGTAAGTAAGGGGAAACTACCATAAAATAAAGCAGAGCTTCCAAAATACAATCAGGATACAAAAGTTGAGCATTAGCTCATTAGCGAGCAAAGCGTGAAGTGCTGTGTGATGTGGTCGTAAAAAATTCAGAGCAAATATGCAGAGTCCAATCTTTAAAAATCACGAAAGGTTTATTTACAATAATAAGAAATAACTGCATTTCTTAATAATCAAGAACTTGGTCTGAACTACTCTAACACCCATCTCTTCTAAGGTTTAAAAAGAGGAAAAATAATCTAAGCACTACATCTCTAGGACACACAACCAGAGAGAGATCTCAAAGCACACAGCACATACTCTCCATACTAAAGTGTAATAAGGCAGAAGTCAGATTCAAAAAGCCTTGCAGTAGAAAAGTATCCATTTTAAACAATCAATCAGAATGAGAGCAGAAAGAGAGAAGAAAAACTGTCAGTCGGGAGACATGGGGGAAAGGAAACCCTTAGTCTAGACCAGCGGTCCTCAAACTTTTTAAACAGAGGCTCAGGTCACAGTCCCTCAAACTGTTGGAGGGCCAGGTTATAATTTGAAAAAACCATGAATGAGTTCCTATGCACACTGCACATATCTTATTTGTAGTGCAAAAAACATTTAAAAACAATAATTAAAATGAAGAACAATTTCAACAAATATAAAATTATTAGTATTTCAATGGGAAGTGTGAACCTGATTTTGGCTGATGAGATAGGATTGTTGTTATGTGCTTTCAAGTTGTTTCAAACTTAGGTTGACCCTGAGCGAGGGCCAGGTAAATGACCTTGCAGGGCCGTATCCGGCCCCCGAGCCTTAGTTTGAGGATCCCCAGTCTATATTATACTAAACTAACTGCTCCTCATTGAGGACTTGAAACTTGGACAGTATGGGGTTGAATTCCAACACCAACATCCTCATCCTGAGAATTTCAGCCAATATTTCTTATCCAAGAAGCATTAAACTTGGCTAGATTATGCTCTTTCAACGTGTCTCCTATCCCTGAAACAGTACGTCTAGCTTAAAAAAATGTCTAGGAATGATGTTGCACCTCTTCTGGTCACCCAAAATTGTCACTTTAGCACAGGCATGGGCAAACTTCGACTCTCCAGGTGTTTTGGACTTCAACTCCCACAATTCCTAATAGCCAGTTCTTAGGAATCGTGGGAGTTGAAGTCATAAACACATGGAGGGGCCAAAGTTTGCCCATGCCTGCTTTAGCAGTATGATGCAATGTTCTAGGACAGTGATTCTCAACCTGTGGGTCCCCAGGTGTTTTGGCCTACAACTCCCAGAAATCCCAGCCAGTTTACCAGCTGTTAGGATTTCTGGGAATTGAAGGCCAAAACATCTGGGGACCCACAGGTTGAGAATCACTGCTCTAGGAAGTTACAAATGATGTGTTATAGTCCTCTATACCTAAAGCAAACTCACTCCTGTAATAGTGGAACACATGAGGCTAGCTGCAAAGTCTGGTAAACTCAAGCTCCAAAACTAATGATGGGTTTAGCAACCTAATAGGTTTACCATTCCAGCTTTTAACAATATATCAGGATAAATCCACTTCAAACACGATGTAACTGTGGTTCCTGATCCCTTTCCTACCATTTCGTAACCAAAATGGAATTTCAAACTTTGGATATTTATTCGTGCACAGTTTATTGCTTTTATTTATTTATTTATTTCTTCTATTTATACCCCCACCTTTCTCAATCCATAGGGGACACAAGGCCGCTTACATATATAGGCAACAATTTGATGCCATGTAAACATATACAATAAAATAAACATATATATTAGAACAATCATCAAAACATATCAAACTTTAAAACAGTTATTTAAATCATGTTATCCAAAATCGTAATCCATGGCAGTTCCAAATTGTCATTGCACTATTTCATAGTTCTCTTATGGGTTACTACTGAGTGCTAGATTCCACGTACATGTCTTTAGCCTTTTCCTGAAGGTTGGGAGGGAGGGGGCTGATCTGATTTCATTTGTGAGGGAGTTCCATAGTCGAGGGGCCACCACTGAGAAGGCCCTGTCTCTCGTCCCCACCAACTGCACATGTAAAGGAGGCGTGACCATGAGTAGGGCCTGCCCAGGCGATCTTAACCTCCTAGCTCAGTGGTTCTCAACCTGTGGGTTCCCAGGTGTTTTGGCCTACAACTCCCATAAATTCCAGCCAGTTTACCAGCTGTTAGGATTTCTGGGAGTTGAAAGCTAAAAAATCAGGGGACCCACAGGTTGAGAACCACTGTCCTAGCTGGTTCATAGAGGGTGGTACGTTTGGACAGGTAAACTGGGCCAGAATTATTTAGGGCTTTATAGGCTAAAGCCAGCACTGTGCTCGGTAGCACACAGTGCTCGTTAGAAAACTGTACCAGTGAAGCTACCATGCTAATCTTCTCTGTATCATTCCAATTTTAGTATATGTGCTGCCGAAGCGAGCACATTGCACAGGGGCCATGCTAATCTTCTCAGTATTGTTCCAATTTTAATATATGTGCTGCTGAAGCTGGGCTGGAAGTGGAACCATATAGGGCTTTATAGGCCAAGACCAGTACTTTGAATTATAATGGGAAGTGGACTGGCAGCAGTGGAGCTGACGCGACAGAAGGGATGTCTTCTCTGTGTACGGCGCTCCAGTAAGCAACCTGGCTGCTGCTCGTTGGACTACTGGAAGCTTTCAAACGGTCTTCAAGGGCAACCCCATGCAGAGTGCATTGCAGTAGTCTATTCTAGATGTAACCAGAGTGTGGACCACTGTGGCAAAGTCTGACCTCCCAAGGTACGGGCGCAACTGGTGCACAAGTTTTTATTGTGAAAATACTCCCCTGGCAACAACCAAAACCTGGGGTTCCAGGCTCAGCGATAAGTCCACGCTTACTCCCAAGCTGCGAATCTGCGCCTTCAGTGGGAGTGTAACCCCGTCCAGCACAGGCTGTAACCCTATACCCTGTTTGGCCTTTTGACTGACCAGGAGTACCTCTGTCTTGTCTGGATTCAATTTCAATTTGTTCACCCTCATTCAGACCATCACAGCTGACAAGCACCAGTTCAGGACCTGAACAGTCTCCTTAATAGCAGTTGGAAAGGAGTGATAGAGTTGAACGTCATCTACGTACAGGTGACATTGCTTCAACTGAGCCTTCTGTATCACATTTATTCATTTAAGCAAAGCTGGTCAAATTCTGTCTCAGGAAATACCACTTTCCAATTCAACTCTCCGACTATCTCTCATACCTGAGCATGACATCTGACTCTTTCACCATCTCAGAGATGTCACTTTTCAAAATCCTCTGCTGGGTCAGGAGGTTGTGGGCCTTGGTCCACCTAGAATGGAATGATACAGAGATATATCGGGCAGCCTCTTCAGTGACTGGCTTTCCTGAAACCTCTATTTTACTTTATGTCTCCTTGGCATCTTCTCTTTAACTGATATATAGTCTGACAACACCAGGCTTACATATCGACAATGTTTCTACCAATTTTCATAACTGTTTGGTTTTGAAAGCTGTTGTGCTTGCTTGTCTAAATAAAAACTGTACCCCGATTCTGCTTAAGTGCCTCAGATATAGAATCATAGAGTTGGAAGAGACCTCATGCGCCATCCAGTCCAACCCCCTACCAAGAAAAGTCACATTCAAAGCACCCCCGACAGATGGCCACCTGGCCTATATTTAAAAGCCACCAAAGAAGGAGCTTCCACCACGCTCCGGGGCAGAGAGTTCTATTACTGAACAGCTCTCAGTCAGGAAGTTCTTCCTCATGTTCAGATGGAATCTCCTTTCTTGTCGTTTGAAGCCATTGTTCTGCGTCCTAGTCTCCAGGGCAGCAGAAAAAAGCTTGCTCCCTCCTCCCTATGACTTCCTCTCACATATTTATACATGGCTATCATGTCTCCTCTCAGCCTTCTCTTCTTCAGGCTAAACATGCCCAGCTCTTTAAGCCGCTCCTCATAGGGCTTGTTCTCCAGACTTTGATCATTTTAGTCGCCCTCCTCTGGACACATTCCAGCTTGTCAATATCTCTCTTCAATTGTGGTGCCCAGAATTGGACACAATATTCCAGGTGTGGTCTAACCAAAGAATAGAGGGGTAGCATTACTTCCCTAGATCTAGACACTATGCTCCTATTGATGCAGGCCAAAATCCCATTGGCTTTTTTTGCCGCCACATCACATTTTGGCTCATGTTTAACTTGTTGTCCACGAGGACTCCAAGATCTTTTTCACACGTACTGCTCTCGAGTCAGGCATCCCCCATTCTGTATCTTTGCATTTCATTTTTCCTGCCAAAGTGGAGTATCTTGCATTTGTCACTGTTGAACTTCATTTTGTTAGTTTTGTCCCATCTCTCTAATCTGTCAAGATCATTTTGAATTCTGCTCCTGTCTTCTGGAGTACTGGCTCTCCCTCCCAATTTGGTGTTGTCTGCAAACTTGATGATCATGCCTTCTAGCCCTTCATCTAAGTCATTAATAAATATGTTGAACAGGAACTTCATAGATATATATATATAGATATAGTGCAGGAAGGATGTATCACAGAAAAAATGTGATAATCTTTCTCACCATTAACAAAATCATCTTTACGGATATACATGCTCACCATTCCACCATGAGAGGCAGTTTGTCTTCCACAGTTCGGTATGGATCAATTTCAATAGGATAGTAATAATGGAGCAGGTCTTTTAGCTGGAATATTTGTGAGAATCAAGAAAGAAAAGGAGCGTTGTTAGCTTGCCAAGATATTACAAAAAAGGTTTCAAGATATAAATTTTCAAATATAACATCAAACAGCTAACAGCTTCACTATTATGGACATGTTTACAAAACTGTATTTTATAGGAATGGGATATTTAATATGGTTGGACAGTCATTGTTAAAAAGACCCTTTCTTCACCACTTTTGAGCTTTATAGGATTCATCAAAGCACTTAAGGAAAGTGGCAATAACTACCATAGCAGAAAAAACCTCAATTTGGAAGTTTCATTCAGGTGTGATGAACTATATCTCTAGGTATTGCCTAGAAAATTCTGCCAAAATTAAAAATGCCATTCCTGCACCAAAAATAACATGGCTTCAATTATTTATGTACAATATTTGTAACATTTACTAGCGTGTATAATTTTCAAGACATTTTCTTTTGATTTCCTTCCTTAAAGGAACTTTGGAATTATGGTTTTATATGATACTAGCTATCCCCTGCCACACGTTGCTGTGGCCCATTCTGTATATATGTGTTTTCTGTGTGTATATATATGTGTGTGCATATGTGTATATAACAGTATATATGTATATTGTGTAGATGTCTGTAATTCTCTATATGCATATTTGTATGTACATATGTGTGTATGTATGTGTATATGTATATATGTGTGCATATATGTGTGCATGTGTATATTTGTGTGTGTTAATGAGTATATGTTTATATGTGTTTATGTATATGTGTGTGTGTATATTTGTGTGTGTATGTATATATGTATATGAGTGTATGTGTATATGTATATATGGTGTATTTTGAGGTTTTTTAAGTCCGTTCTGCTCGTTTTGTGTGTGTGTGTATGTGTGTGTTTTAGAGGTGATGAACACACATTGGGTTGTTATGTGTATTGTGTCCAAATTTGGTGTCAATTCGTCCAGTGGTTTTTGAGTTATGTTAATCCCACAAACGAACATTACATTTTTATTTATATAGATCAGTCCTAAATACATGTTCCATTTTTTATGCATGCGCATAAAAAAACCTTCTAACTCCCTCAAGGCAACTAACATCATCAGAAACTTAACCATATTATAAGACATTTGAGAATAAGAATACATATAATTCAGGTGCCACAAAATAATAAACCAACTGAAAGAAAAATATAATACCAATGAAGTACAAGTATTTAACCATAGTAATTAAACATTTTAATAATAGTCATCATCTGTTCCGTAGTGGAGATAATTTGCAAGACTGACTTTTTGTACATTCCCGGAAATCTTTAGGAGGAGCCTGAAAACTTGGCTGTTCCAATGAGCCTTCAATGACTGAATGTATGATAATCCCTGACCAAACTCTGCATAAAATGTCCTCAGAAACACTTTATTCTCTGGTTTCTGCAATGAACTCTTACCTTATCCCCCGGATCCCCTTCCTGATATTATACACTGCCCTATCTCCCAGTCTTTTAAAATTTTAAAATTTGAACTGGCGCTGCCCACTGTGATCATTTTTAGTGGTTTAATGTTTTGATTTTATATTGTTATGCTGCATATTTACATTGGTTTGTATTTTATGTTATTTTTTATGTTTATTATTATTATTATTATTATTATTATTATTATTAATTTCAGTGGAAACTAAGACACAATTTGCTTACTCTCTTATTTTATATATGTCTGTTCTAAAGCAATTTTCATTGAGATCGATGGGATTTACTCAAAGGAAAAGCAAGGAAGGGATCACTACCTTTGGCCATCATCCAATACACATTTCTCCAAGGCCCCTTCCACACAGCTGAATAAAATCCCAGATTATCTGCTTTGAACTGGAATATATGGAAGTGTGGACTCAGATATCCCAGTTCAAAGCAGATATTGTGGGATTTTCTGCCTTGATATTCTGGGTTATATGGCTGTGTGGAAGGGCCCTAGGACAAAGTCTTGTTGAACTTATGACCAGACAGACAAGAAATTTCACTGTTAGTCTGGATCCAACTCAATTCTTCCAATATCTAGAATGCTTGATTAGCATTAGAGAAAAAATACATTGTGACCTTGGCATTCAGTTCCTTCCATGGATGCCCAAAAGTCAGAATTATATACAATGGTGTGGTAAAATGGTGTCTCTTATATACAATCAAGGTTTGCTTTTAGTATTTTCAAAAAATATTTTCAAGCTATGGGAGGTTGAATCCATGGATGCAGAATCCATGGATATGGAAAGCTGACTGTACAAGAATAAACAAAGGGCAGACGTGGGTAGCTGGCAGCAATAAAAAATAATTTTGAAGAATTTCAGATTTACCAATAAGGGAAGCTCAACCTGTACAGATACGGAAGAAAATGCAGAAACTCATACCTTTCTTCTACCATCTTCATTGATGACCCGGCTGTTATCTATGATATCTGAAAAAATATAAATATATGATTTACATTAAAAAATATCTCTCTAATGCATACTTTCTTGCACATGTATGTACAGAGACACATCACTGTTTAGTTTACGATTCCTTCAAAAGTCCGGTGCTTTGGAAGCTTACACAACTTGCAAATGCAAACTCGACCTGAAAACAGCAGTGTGTTTTCCAACCTGTTTGACTTATTTACGCATAGAAAGCAAGGGTTTAGCCCCATAGGTTGCAAAAATATGTATGATAATTGTCATTGCTGCCTGACTCTATTTAAACCTAGGCCCCTTCCTCACACCTGTATAAAATCCACATTGAACTGGATTATATGCCAGTGTGGATTCAGATAACCCAGTTCAAAACAGAGATTGTGGATTATCTGCCTTGATATTCCGGATTATATGGCTGTGTGGAAGGGTCCCTAGATATGGGGGAGAGAAGCTGCTGAAAAATGTTTCCAGAAAATTGGACTTTCCAGAAAATTGGATCTAGGTCTGTATCCTTCTCCATAAGAACAATGTCTTCAAACTACAAGAAAGGAGATTCCATCTGAACCTAAGGAAGAACTTCCTGACTGTGAGAGCTGTTCAGCAGTGGAACTCTTTGCCCTGGAGTATGGTGGAGGCTCCTTCTTTGGAAGCTTTTAAACAGAGGCTGGATGGCCATCTGTCAGGGGTGCTTTGAATGCAATATTCCTGCTTCTTGGCAGGGGGTTGGACTGGATGGCCCATGAGGTCTCTTCCAATTCTATGATTCTACTAGCTGTGCCCTGCCACACATTGCTGTGGCCCACTCTGGTGGTCAGGAAAATAAAGTAATGAGAAAGCGTTGGTTTCTAATATATGCAATTTCTTTCTGCTTGTGGGTAAACAGTATTCCTTGTTGTTTCTTTGTCAGTGTTGATGTGGTTTGCCTACTTTGAAAGATGTAACATATAATTGTCCTTCTGTAGGGGTCCCTATCAAATTTATGATACTATATCTGTGTGTGAATCATATCTACCTATCTATCTCTATGACTGGATGGCTCTTTGTCAGGAGGGCTTTGGTTACATTTTCTTGCCCTGGTGAATGGAGTTGGACTGGATGGCCTTAAGTATTTTCTGTTGGTCATGGGGGTTCTGCGTGGGAAGTTTGCCCCAATTCTGTCGTTGGTTGGGTTCAGAACGCTCTTTGATTGTAGGTGAACTATAAATCCCAGTAACTACAACTTCCAAATGTCAAGGTCTATTTTCCCCCAAACTCCATTTGTGTTCATATTTGGGCATATGGAATCTTCGTGCCAAGTTTGGTCCAGATCCATCATTGCTTGAGTCCATGGTAGTCTCTGGATGTAGGTGAACTACAACTCCCAAACTCAAGGTCAATGCTCATTAAACCCTTGTAGTGTTTTCTGTTGGTCATTGGAGTCCTGTGTGCCCTGGTTGGTTCAATTCTATCATGCTATTTGATTGTAGGTGAACTATAAATCCCAACAACTACAACTCCCCCCCTTTTTTTTTAGTGAAGGACATACATTGGGTTGTTAAGCATATGCTGTCCAAATTTGGTGTCAATACCCAGTGGTTTATGAGTTATGTTAATCCCGCAAACGAACATTACATTTTTATTTATATAGATGATTCTAAGAGCAAACATAATTTGCCTTGCTATTTAATTTCTATTGCAGAAAACATAACATATTTGAAAGTGAAACAACCACAGAGATGATCTATAGTTCATTTGTAAGAAAGAAAGGAAGCCATGGCCAAGATATGACAATGCTTGCGACAGAAGAAAAGAAAGAAAATCAAGAAGAATGGCAAGGAGAAGAGATAAAATTGAAAACGAGTGTAGAACCAAAGGTCAGAATTTGGACTCACTGTGTGAAGTGGGGCAACGCTTGCCATTGAACCCAAACCGAGTCAGTGTCATGTCAAAATCAGAAATGACCTGAAGACAACAGGGAGGAAATGAAAGTTTCCCAACTTCACATGGTCTTTTTCACAAACAGAAAAGTGTGTCACTGTAAGTTAAGTTAGTCTTTTGTTACTGGCATTAGTATAGAGGGCTTGAAAAAGTTACTTTCCTATATTTGTCAAATATAGATATCCTTTACATCCCTCTATAATCTCTGTCTTTTGTCTTCTCCCATCCCTTTTCCTGCTGACCAAAAGATACATAAGGTCACCAAGAATGTACTGGATGAGAAGCTGCTAAACTACCAGTAGTATTTTTTGTGTCATACTTTCTTGGCCTTATCTGTCTTCACAAGGCTGTTCTACACAGGAAAAAAAGCTACTGCTAAATATATAGTCTTATGGAAGTGTGACATAGCAAATATGACAATATTTTATATATTTCTTAATTTAAATACAAATATACAATAAATGATATCACAGTGATACAGCACTGATTTTGACTTAGGGACACAAACCCCTTTCTGTGAGTTTTAGGCACATTTCATTAGCAATTAATGCACACCTAGCCATTCTTAGGACATGTTTCCACTTAGTCTGAATGTCTGCACTCTTGTACCACTTCAAGTGCATCTACACTACAAAATCAATGCAGTTTGGCACCACTTTAATTGTCATCGTCCAATGCTATGGAAGCACAGGAGTTGTAGTTTTACAAGTTATTTTACAAGTTATTTTACAAGTTCGAGTGCATCTACACTACAAAATCAATGCAGTTTGGCACCACTTTAACTGCCATCGTCCAATGCTATGGAAGCACAGGAGTTGTAGTTTTACAAGTTATTTAGCCTCCTCTGCCATTGTGTTGGTGATTAGTCAAACTACAAATTCCATGATTCCATAGCATTGAACCATTACAGTTAAAGTAGTGTCAAGCTATTATTTATTATTTATTTATTTACGACATTTATAAGCTGACCTTCTCACCCCAAAGGGGACTCAGAACGGCTTACAAGTAAAAAGTAAATTGTTCATTCGTTCAGTCGTCTCCGACTCTTCGTGACCTCATGGACCAGCCCACGCCAGAGCTCCCTGTCGGCCGTTACCACCCCCAGCTCCCTCAAGGTCAGTCCAGTCACTTCAAGGATGCCATCCATCCATCTTGCCCTTGGTCGGCCCCTCTTCCTTTTGCCTTCCACTTTCCCCAGCATAATTGTCTTCTCTAGGCTTCCCTGTCTCCTCATGATGTGGCCAAAGTACTTCAACTTTGTCTCTAGTATCCTTCCCTCCAGTGAGCAGTCGGGCTTTATTTCCTGGAGGATGGACTGGTTGGATCTTCTCGCAGTCCAAGGCACTCTCAGAACTTTCCTCCAACACCACAGCTCAAAAGCATCGATCTTCCTTCGCTCAGCCTTCCCGAAGGTCCAGCTCTCACATCCGTAGGTTACTACAGGGAATACCATGGCTTTGACTAGGCGGATCTTTGTTGCCAGTCTGATGTCTCTACTCTTTACTATTTTATCGAGACTGGACATTGCTCTCCTCCCAAGAAGTAAGCGTCTTTACAAAAAGTAAATACAATATATTATATCATTATCATAGCACAGCTGATAATGTAATATAATTACATAATATACAGAAATGTAATATAATTGACTGGCTGCCCTGACACGACAAATAAAAAATAAATAAATCATAGCACAATATTAATATTATATATTAGATTGTACTGTAACATTATACTGTAATATTATTAGTAATATTACATTTACTACAAAATATATAATTATAATATCATTTTATTATTATTATTAGTAGTAGTATATTGTATTACATTATAACATTATCAATATTATATGTATATACAATATATAATATAATATAATATAATAATATAATAATATAATAAGCACAGTGCAGGAGACAAGATGGAACTGCCTTTATGATCCCTCTCTTCATTCTGATCTCAGAGCAGATCTACAATAATTCTACAGTGCAACTGCATAAATATCACTTCACTCCTCAACTCTTTGCTTTGTTTACCATCTTGTTTAATAAAGAATTCTGCTCAGAAAGCATTTTAGGAATGTTGAGTTGATTAAACACATGTATTGTATATGGATTTTTGCATCTCTTTCTTGCTTCTTGTCAATAAAGATTCCATAGGACAAGAAAGAAATCTTAATAAATATATCCGTATATACTCAAGTATAAGCCAACCCAAACACAAGCCAAGGCACCTTATTTTACCACAAAAAACTGGGAAAACTTATTGACTCAAGTATAAGCTGAGGATGGGAAATGTAGCAGCTACTAGTAAATTTCAAAATAAAAATAGATACCAATAAAATTACATTGAGGCATCAGTAGGTTAAATGTTTTTGAATATTTACCATATTTCAAAGAAAATATGGTAAACAGAAAAGTAGGGTCAACACAAATAATAATAATAATAATAATAATAATTATTATTATTATTATTATTATTATTATTATTATTTATTTGTATCCCACCCCATATCCCCATGAGGACTCAGGCTGGCTTCCAACATAGTAACAGGCAAACATTCAATACCTATATAAACAATGCAGAGTTAGAAATAGATCTATAATTATATATACTAATTTCGCAATTGCATTTCCCCCTGAAACGTTTACAAATCCTTCTCTCCATATGTGCATTTCCCTCCTGCAATATTTGCAAGTCCTATATATCTATGTTTATATCTATCTAGACATCTCTCTCTATGTGCATGTGTGTGCATTTTCCCTGTAATATTTGTAATATACCCTTTCCCTTTTCAAAACATTCCCTCCTTCTCTCTCTCTCTCTTTAAAAAAAAAAAGATTTACCAAACTCTACAACTCCAGCCTGGAAGAGAAGTGGAGTGAGGGAGGCTTTGGAAAAGAAAACACACTGTTAAGGGAGGGGAAGAGGAGAGAGAAATATATCATATATTACAAGCAGTGGCTGGAAACAGCTGTCGGAGCCTTGACTCCATTATAAACCGAGGGAGACTTTTTCAACCCAAACAAAGGCTGAAAAACTTGGCTTATATTCGAGTATATACAGTAAGCAAAACCGAAATTAAGACAAAATGAGCAAAACATGTACATTTATATTTGATTGAGTCATCCAGAACTGATCTGCGAAATAATCAGAAGTACTGCAAGATTTATTTTTACAAATTTAGCTTGCAACTAATACACAGTTAATTTTGCAATGTTCCATTCCATGTTTTGTCTTGTTTTAAAGTACTAATGGGAGGTTGCCAGTACCTAGCATTGATTAGTATGGATAAATGATTCTTCAAGACTTAAAGTGTTATTTACATATTTAAGAAAGCAAAGAAGTGTTTGCATAGTTTTTTGCCATGTTTGCTGAAACCTCCTTGGCCATACATATATTGCAACCATTGAAATGAAAAGCAGCATACACACCTGAAGTCTTTCTGCTCCACCTTTTTTGAGCAATGAGATTATATTTTTTACTTTTTCGGGATTCTTCATCCGGACATTCGCTTTCTCCAATTCAGGTACCTGGAAAGGCAGAGACAATATGTGCTACGCTTCAGGTGTTTTCAGCTTTATTTATTTTAAATACATTATATTTGTATTCACCGAAGCTAGCATACACATCTAGCACACAAAACAAGATTTGATTTCGGTTACAGCTCACGTACAAAGTGGGAATTACAAGAAACTGAGACAACTGTGTTTCACTTTGACATAAATTCAGATAAACCACTCTCTTAGGATGCATCTATTCTAAATAACAGAATTAATGTAGTTTGATATCCCTTTAACTTCCATGGCTCAATGCTATGGGATCCTGGGATTTGTAGTTTGGATGAGAACTAGCACTATTGGACAAAAGTTAAAGACCTCATACAACTAAACTCCAATAATTCAATTGCACTGAGTCTAGACTACCACAGTTAAAGTGGTGTCAAATTGCATTAATTCTGCAGTGTAAATTAATTGTTAGTTTAACCACCACCTCCCTTTCACAACTATACTGGGATGCTGATGTTTTCCTATGGATCCAATTATGATAATAATGTATGTGAAGTGCCATATACCAGTCGCCATCTGCTCGCCCACAGAAAATCATGATAACCATATTCTAAGAAACAAGAGCCGATGCAATCTATCCAATGCAATTTTCTGAATCAGTGCCCCAAATAATCCCAGAAACAGACCTAAAAAAATTGACGAATTGACGAACTGACACGAAATTCGGACACAATACATCAATCAGGCCAACATGTGACCATCACTCATAAAAACACTAAAAAACACAGCAGAAGAGACTTGAAAAGCCAAAATGATAGAAATAYATTACAATGCATGTTCAAACCACACACACACACACACACACATGTATATATACTAGCTGTCCCCTGCCACTTGTTGCTGTGGCCCAGTCTGTTGATCTAGAAAATAAAGTAATGAGAAAGTGTTGGTTTCTAATATATGTAATTTCTTTCTGCTTGTGGGTAAACAGTATTCCTTGTTGTTTCTTTGTCAGTGTTGATGTGGAGAGTGTCTGATTTGCCTACTCCGGAACATGCAACATATAATTTTCCTTCTTCAGGGGTCCCTTTCAAATCTATGATACTATATCAGTGTGTGTGTGAATCATATCTATCTATATCTATGGCAGGATGGCTCTTTGTCAGGAGGGCTTTGATTTCATTTTCTTGCCCTGGTGAAGGGAGTTGGACWGGATGGCCTTRAGTATTTTCTGTTGGTCATGGGGGTTCTGYGTGGGAAGTTTGCCCCAATTYTGTCGTTGGTGGGGTTCAGAACAGTCTTTGATTGTAAGTGAACTATAAATCCCAGTAACTACAACTCCCAAATGCCAAGGTCTATTTCCCCGAAACTCCATGTGTTCATATTAGGACATATGGAATATTCGTGCCAAGTTTGGTCCAGATCCATCATTGTTTGAGTCCATGGTAGTCTCTGGATGTAGGTGAACTACAGCTCCCAAACTCAAGATCAATGCCCACCAAACCCTTCCAGTATTTTTTGTTGGTCATGGGAGTTTGGTGTGCCAAGTTTGGTTCAATTCCATCATTGATGGAGTTCAGACTGCTCTTTGATTGTAGGTGAACTATAAATCCCAGCAACTACAACTCCCAAATGACAAAATCCTAATTTTTTGAGTTATGGTCACTCCTTGTGTTGTGAGACGTTTTGTTGCCAAATTTGATATGATTTCGTTCATTGGTTCTTTTGTTTTTAAGGTACTCATTATGCACAGAGCATTTATATATATATAGATATACACACACAAAACACATATATAGACTGGGCCACAGCAATGTGTGGCAGAGTACTGTAATATTATTAGTAATATTACATGAAATATAAAATATATAGTTATAATATTGTAGTATTATTATTATTATTAGTAGTAGTAGTAGGAGTATATCGTATTACATTACAATAGCTCTTGCTTCACAAGTAATACAGATGGGAAAAACAATATGGTGTAAGGGTTGACTACAGCTCATCTACACTGAAGAATTAATGCAGTTTGACACCACTTTGATTGCTAAGGCTCTGTGCTATGGAATGATTCTACTCCAGCAAGGTCTGCCAAAGAATGCAGCTGCCTTATATAACTGCAGGGCTTCCTATGCACTGAAAGACATGGGGTGTTATGTGCCAAGCAAGTCGTTTCTGACTTATGCCAACCCTAAGATCTGTTTTGGTCAAGGGTGTCAAAGAAGGGGATCCCTATACATCCCCCTTTCCATACAGGCCCCAGCAAGGCTTGAAATCTCCCTACTTACCATAATCCTGGCTCTGCAAAGGCTCTCTTTCTATCTCTTGCAGTCTAAAGCCGGTAATGGAGAAAGTAAGAGGAGGAGGAGCAAGAGGAGGAGGCTTTGCTAGGGCTGGCCTTGAGAGGCACCTCCTCCTGCTTTCCTCCCATTCTCCTTTGCCATTTGAAAGAAAGCATTGCCAGCCAGTGGCAGAAGAGCATAGGAGGGAAGGAGGAAGGTGCCTCCCAGGCCCAATGCCCTGGGTTCCCTCCTTGCCCTCTCTTTTAGGGTCGCCTGCCTGCCAGCCACTGATAACCCTCCCTTCTCTCCTCCTCCTTATCTTGTTCCTGTGTTGTTGTTGTGTCCCTTGGTGTCCTTTCCGATCTATGGTGACCGTGCCACAGGGTTTTCGCGTAAGATATATTCTGATGGGAGTTTGCCTTGCCTTCCCTTTGAGGCTGAGAGTGGTCCCATCTACACTGACCATTTTATTTTTGTGTGTGAATAACAAACAAAAAGGCAAAAAACAAGTACAAATAATACAGCAACTAGCAGAAACTGTACAGTGGGTTGCTGTGAGTTTTCCAGGATGCATGGCCATGTTCCAGAAGCATTCTTTCCTGACGTTTTGCCCATATCTATGGCAGGCTTCCTCGGAGGTTGTGAGGTCTGTTGGAAACTTGGACAAACGCACACACACACATATATACACACTATTATATTAGCATAGGATAATATCATTATTAAATATCCCACCCTGGTCATTCCACAGATATATAAACCCAATTTTCCTAGTTCCAACAGACCTCACTACCTCTGAGGATGCTTGCCATAGATGCAGGCAAAACGTCAGGAGAGAATGCCTCTAGAACAGTGGTTTTCAACCTGGGTTCCCCAGATGTTTTTGACCTACAACTCCCAGAAATCTCAGCCAGTTTACCAGCTGTTAGGATTTCTGGGAGTTGAAGGGAAAAAACATCTGAGGACCCCAGGTTGAGAACCACTGCTCTAGAACATGGCCATATAGCCCGAAAAAAACTACAACAACCCAGTGATTCTGGCCATGAAAGCCTTCGACACTACATTACTATATTGTATTATACCATTATATTGTAATATTAGTAATATTTCATGTAATATAGATATATAATTATAATATCATATTATTATGAGTGTTATATTGCATTACATTATATTATAAATATGATAAGCATATAATATATTACGTTACATTATATTATTAGCATAGCATAGGAGACAAGGTAGAACTATCCCCTGGCCCCCTCTCTCTTCACTCTGGCCCAGAACGGCAGTTGGTGCTGGGAGGAGGGGTCTCCAGCTGATGACATATGCAGGAGACAAGATGGGCCTATCCTCTGCCCCCCCTTCACTGTGGCCCAGAGTGGCAGTTGGTGCTGGGGGGAGGCATTCCCAGCTGATGACACATCCAGGAGACAAGGTGGAACTGTCCTCTGGCCCCCTCTCTCTTCACTGTGGCCCAGAGCGGCAGTTGGTGCTGGGGGGAGGGTTCCCCAGCTGATGACACATGCAGGAGACAAGATGGAACTGTCTTCTGCCTGCCCCCCTTTCACTGTGGCCCAGAGTGGCAGTTGGTGCTGGGGGGAGGCAATCCCAGCTAATGACATATGTAGGAGACAAGATGGAACTGTCCCCTGGCTCCCTCTCTCTTCAATCTGGCCCAGAGCGGTAGTTGGTGCTGGGTGGAGGGGTCCCCAGCTGATGACATATGCAGGAGACAAGATGGAACTGTCCCCTGGCCCCCTCTCTCTTCAATCTGGCCCAGAGCGGTAGTTGGTGCTGGGTGGAGAGGTCCTCAGCTGATGACATATGCAGGAGACAAGATGGGACTGTCCCCTGGCCCCCTCTCTTCACTTTGGCCCAGAGTGGCAGTTGGTGCTGGGGGGAATGGTCCCCAGCTGATTTATTTTTATTATTTACAGTATTTCTATACCGCTTTTCTCACTCCTAGGGGGACTCATGACATATGCAGGAGACAAGTTGAAACTGTCCTCGATTATTAGCATTGATAGCCTTGCAACTTCAAAGCCTGGCTGCTTCCTGCCTAGTAGAATCTTTTGTTGGGAGGTGCTAGCTGGCCCTGATTCCCCCAGGATATTTTGGCCCTCAACTCCCAGAAATCCTAAGAGCTGGTAAACTGGCTGGGATTTCTAGGAGTTGCAAGCCAAAACACCTGGGGACTCACAGTTTGAGAACCACTGATATTTGATAATAACTAAACTAGTCATTTATTCCTATCTCTTCACTACACTGACCATTGAACACAGTTTCAAACCGGTATTGAAGAAAGTGGTTTAGCTTTGCAAATAATTACATAGGAAATTCTGGAAGCAGATTATGACCCTCACATTCACATGTGCTGTTTTAAAATTTTGGTAAAATGAGATTGTGTGGTTGCACTTCATTTTAGAAATATTTTAAACTGTGTTAAGTCCCTTGTCAGGAAGAGAGCATATAATAAAAACTGAAATTGTGCTGACTCTGCTGGATTCTAAAATTCAAAGCACTCACAACCCAAGAAGTAGACAGAACAACACAGTCATTTGGGACTGAGGATAGGAGCATTGCTCCTCACTGCAATTTTCCTTTGGTCATCAGATTTCTAACACTTATTAAGTTGCATGTTTAGAAATACTGGCATCCAAAGAAGAGCAATCAAAGTCACCAGGTGGTTTTTAAACAGAGGCTGGATGGTGATCTGTCAGGAGTGCTTTGATTGTACTTATTTACGCAATCCCTCATAGCTCGAGGCTGATTGTCTTCCAGATGTGGTGTCTTGGCGGTGGGTCCATAGGTGGCTGTGGAGCCCTATTCTTGATCCCCATATTCTTCTGGAGTGAGGACATCAGTTTCCAGGTGGAAGGCGGTCCCAGACAAGGTTGGCTTGACATGCCTTCCTCTTGGCACATTTCTCCCTTTCGCCCTCCGTTCATGCCTCTTCGAATTCTGTAGCACTGCTGGTCACAGCTGACCTCCAGTTAGAGCCCTCAAAGGCCAGGGCTTCCCTGTGTCTATGCCACAGTTTTTAAGGTTAGCTTTAAGCCCATCTTTACATCTCTCTTCCTGTCCACCAACATTGTTTCCAATTCTTGAGTTCGGAGTAGTTGCTTTGGGAGACGGTGATCGGGCATTCGGACAACATGGCCAACGTGCTTTGATTTTGCACGGCAGGGGGTTAGACTGGATGGCCCTTGTGGCTTCTTCCAATTCTGATTCTGTGATATCACCAGGTGGATATATGGATTATAATTCATCTTGGGAACATAACTAACCACAAAGTCCATCCAGTATATCAAAGAAGCACCCAATTTTCAAGAACAAGTAGCTCCTGATGAAAGCAATGGAGAAATTTATTGGGGAACACAAGTGTTTTTATTGTACAGTGACTTAATGAAACATCCTGCAAATGTGCAGATAAAAATTAGCTTAGTTTTCACAGAAAAAGTTACAGAGTCATCAAAGGAGAAAAGCAAGGACAACCGTTCAGTCATACAATCTTTTGTTGCAATGCAGCGTGATTTGATCCTGTCCTTGACTAGTAACTTTCTATGTGTAAAGGAGGGAACTGAGTAGGCATAACACAGACCTCAGCACATTCCTTTTCTGTAGTATGTACTTTATCTAAAAGGGAGGGTATAAACATGACAGTTGTACAATAAGATGAAGCACTTGGCACGGTTCTAAATTAAATTTTTTTTTACTTTATATCTCAAAATACAATTGTTAGAAAAAACAGTATTAGGCAATGTATTGTTGAAGGTTTTTATGGCTGGAATCACTGGATTGTTGTAGGATTTTTCGGGCTATATGGCCATGTTCTAGAGGCATTCTCTCCTGACGTTTCACCTGCATCTATGGCAAGCATTCTCAGAGGTAGTGAGGTCTGTTGGAACTAGAATAAAGGGGTTATATATCTGTGGAATGACTAGGGTGGGACAAAGCACTCTTGTCTGTTGGAGCTAGGTGTGAATGTTTCAACTGACACCTTGATTAGCATTTGATGTCCTGGCAGTGCCTGGGGCAGTCTTTTGTTGAGGTGATTAGATGTCCTTGTTTGTTTCCTGTTTTCCTAGTTCCAACAGACCTCACTACCTCTGAGGATGCTTGCCATAGATGCAGGCAAAACGTCAGGAGAGAATACTTCTAGAACATGGCCATATAGCCCGAAAAAAACCTACAACAACCTGGTATTAAGCAAGCTTATTCTTCAGGTCATCCTTTGCCCTACCTTTAAGATTAAAAGAAGTTGCTTTCATAGACTTAGGATGCATCTACATTGCAGAATTAATGCAGTTTGACATCACTTTAACTGTCATGGCTCTTGTGATTTGCAGTTTGGTGAGACATCAGCACTCTTTGGCAGAAAAGGCTAAAAAGCGAGGAAAACATCAACTTCTACGATTCTGTTTCATAGAGCCATGGCATTTAAGATGGGTAGTATCAAACTGTGTTAATTCTACAGTGTAGATGCACTGTTAGTCTATTTTCCAAATGTGAATTCTAGACACATTCTAATCACTCTCTAAAAAGGTAGATTATTTGGGACTAAAAGAAAAAAATTGGGGAAAGATAAGCAGCCATTTCCCTGCTAAAGCTACATAACAGTGCTTACTTCTTTCCTGTTTTTTTCAAAATTATGGTTATGTGGTTGAAAACTGAAAAGTTTTACTTTTGTTGTGAAAATGAAAGAATTCCTTCAAATCTTGTGTTATTTGCTTGCACGAAACACTTGCTGAAATTCCCTGAAACAATCATATTCAATATGGCAAGCCTCATAATTATGCAGACGAGTAATTTGCTGGTAAAGAATTCACTGGGAAACAACCTGGGCATTTTTATATATACTTTCTTACCCGATTTATAAGTCTTCAACACCAAATTCCCCTCCTCCCCTCTCCACTGCCGATTCATTAGCAAAAGAAAGAATACTTTGGACCTGGATCTTGATATTTTATATGCATCACTGCTTTTGAAAACAGGAGAAGAAATGCCAATGGGTTGCTCACCATGGAAACATTAGACTCTGAGTATAATGAGGCTAGAGTTATTTCATTTGTTGGAAAATATCTTCAACATAGAACCTGTAAGTGCTCAGATTGGGATAAACAAATATCACATATATATTAACAAAGTTTCCTGGTAAAGAAGTTCCTTTTTACAACCCACAACTACCTTCTCCTTCTTGTCTGTCTAGCTTAAAAGTTGTTGCTTTATCAGCATTCACAGGGTGGCAAAGGAGGCCTGGAGAAAGACAGACTTTCAATATCAGGTTGCAACAGCCTGTTTGCAGTAAACAGTGCAATAAAGATGAGATTCTACTCTAGCCAATCCTACTGTGTGCATGCCTACAATGGGCAAAGTAAACAATAGTTGCCCCCAACATCATTGAGAAAGGGAAAAGCAGAGGGCTGAATCATGAACTATCCCAGCAAGTTTAAAAAAAGATTTTTAAAACCCCAAATAGATCCTTAAGTTTAGCCACCAAATGGAAATCACAAGGCTGGTGAAATTAAAAAATACTCCCTGGATACATTTTCAGAGAAGCTTCAAGCAATCTCTATAAGGTTCAATACATTTGTTTATTTTTGCAAGACGTAGTTCACCTGATCCAGGGAAGTTATGATACCCCTCTATTCTGCCTTAGTCAGACGACATCTGGAATACTGTGTCCAATTGTGGGCATCACAATGGAAGGGAGATGTCGACAAGCTGGAATGTGTCAAGAGGAGGGCAACTAAAATGATCAAGGCTCTGGAGAACAAGCCCTATGAGGAGCAGCTTAAAGAGCTAGGCATGTTTAGCCTGCAGAAGAAAAGGCTGAGATCAGACATTTTGGCCATGTATAAATATGTGAAGGGAAGTTATGAGGAGGAGGAAGCAAGCTTGTTTTCTTCTGCCCTGGAGACTAGGATGCGAAACAATGGCTTCAAACTGCAGGAAAGGAGATTCCACCTGAACATTAGGAAGAACTTCCTGGTCCTGAGAGCTGTTCAGCAGTGGAACTCTCTTCCCCGGACTATAGTGGAGGCTCCTTCTGTGACTTTTAAACAGGCTCGATGGCCAGCTGTTGGGGGTGCTTTGAATGTGATTTTCCTGCTTCTTGACAGGTTTGGACTGAATGGCCTACAAGATCTCTTCCAACTCTGATTCTATGAGTCACAACGAGAACTATGTTGCAATGGAGACATCTCAAAGCGGAACAATGGCTTCAAACTACAGGAAAGGAGATTCCACCTGAACATTAAGAATTTCCCATGAGAGCTGTTCAGCAGTGGAACTCTCTGCCCCAGACTGTGGTGGAGGTTCCTTCTTTGGGGGCTGGATGGTCATCGGTCAGGGGTGCTTTGAATGCGATTTTCCTGCTTCTTGGCAGAGGGTTGGACTGGATGGCCCATGAGGTCTCTTCCAACTCTATAGTTCTAGGTTAGCCGAAAGATGTTGAACTTCTTGCTCTTTGTTTTGTAAACCAGAACCTTCTGTGTGTGTGTGTTTTTAAGTAATGCCCAAGAAAACTTCTCCTTTAATCAATCTATTTATAATTGAAAAAGATTTTTTGATTGAGAATTAGATATTTCAGCTACAAACTTGAAAATCTGATTTTTTTCCATATAAATACCTTTCCCCAATTGTTTCATTACAGCTGATTGTATTCTTATAGGGTACAATTTCTACTTGTGTGTCAACAGAATACGGCCTGAAAGTCGGTTGAAATGGAAAGCCAAGCAGCAGAATTAATTTCGTTGTTCTAACTGTAGTGACTATACCTGGTATATAAACTAAGAGAAAGAAGCCATCTTCATCGTGGTTATATGGCCCTGACTCTTAACTGAAAATAAAATCACAAGACAGATATTATATAAATTCTCAGGGCTGTTCAAAACTTTTTCCCTGAAGTAAATCCATATGCAACCTGAAGCAATAACATGAACCAAGCAAGACAGAAATAGAGAAATAAAATGTTTATTGAAATTACATTTAATGTTACAGAACTTTAATATAGCATATATGGAATAGCAAGTTTTTAAAATAGATTCTGGGGACATACTATTCAAGACAATTCTACCTGAAGGCAGGGAAGTCTCATTTTAGTCTATGAAGCTGCTTGATTTATCAAGCAACAGAGACAAGGCAAATTGGGGGTGAAGTGGGCAAAGAAAGGGGCATTAGAGATCAACTGATCCGTGAGGATTTCTTGGGATTATCAACTAACTCTTTATATTTCATATTATCTTATTGAGGCTCAGGCGAGGCAGGAAGTTGTGCTGGAAAAACTGCCACACAACTAGGATGGCTTTGAGGCCAGTGTCTCAGAATTAGGGCAGCTGCAGGAAACAATGATGTGCATATCACCATTTTATCTTGGTGCACGCTTTGGAATGTTATGATGGCAAAAAGCGAGTGGCAAGAAGTATCAGCTCCCAGCCAAACTTCTACTCACCACCAAATCTAATTTTTATTCCCTCTTTGAAGTGGAAGTAAAATTTCCTTTGTATCCTCTAGAAATAGCCCCTTGCTATTTCTAGAGAACACAAGGGGATTGAAGAGAAGATCTTCCAAACTGCTGAAAGGTATGCAGAAAGACAGCAAAAGCAGTATAAATACAATTCCTGGCATTTCTCCATGCTCTCCACTTGACAGAACAGTGGGTTGTTGTGGGTTTTTCGGGTTGTATGACCACGTTCTAGAAGCATTTTTTCCTGACGTTCCACCTGCATCTGTGGCAAGCATCCTCAGAGGAATCCGTCAGGAGAAAATGCTTCTAGAACATGGCCATACAACCCGAAAAACCCACAATAACCCAGCGATTCCGGCCATGAAAGCCTCAGATAATAGACAGAACAGTGTTTGCCTCTTCCTTGAGCAAAATAACCTGTGGTGTTTGACAAAAACACTCTGGAGGACCGATAAACATTTCTCTTGCTTGTCCTCTCCTGCAATCCTTGCCTCTCTCACAAGACTGTCACATTTGTTACTAGGGCTCAAAGAGGGGAAAGATTTGGGTTGTTGTAGGTTTTTTCGGGCTATATGGCCATGTTCTAGAGGCATTCTCTCCTGATGTTTCGTCTGCATCTATGGCAAGCATCCTCAGAGGTAGTGAGGTATGCTTGCCATAGATGCAGGCGAAACGTCAGGAGAGAATGCCTCTAGAACATGGCCATATAGCCTGAAAAAACCTACAACCCAGCGATTCTGGCCATGAAAGCCTTCGACAATACAGAGGAAAGATTTGTTCTGATCTGCTAAAAGCTTAATCTGACAAGATGTGATGAATGTCATCACCCTGGTGTTTCCCCTCCAATTAATGAGAAAAACATTATTCCGTCATTGACTGGTATTTTTTTAATTGCTTCTGTCTTTCTTCAAAACTTCCTGCATGTGTGAGAATATTACACCTCTCTGGAAATCACTTAGTAAGTATGAAGAACTGGAGCAAGAGGCAAAATCTAACATCAGTCCCTCATGGGCCTTGGATAAGTATGGAAACTGTAAAAGTAACCTTGCTGCTTCTGTTCTTATCTAAACAGCTACAGTACCATATGTCTCTTGTGCGGGGGCAAAGGCAATTGGCACAGTTCATGCTTGCATAATATGCTAGGTGCTGGTACCAATGACATTCTGTGTAACCTGCTGAACATGGGCCAACAACTGCAAATAGGGGTACCTTTTTTGTATAATTTGTCCTCTGTGGTAGAGGCTGCAGTGGTAGCTATCTGTGGCAATTTTGCAGGTATTACCTGAATAAAATTGTATTTGTATCTTTGTTACCTTCATTGGTTAAAGGTGACCCTTGCTGAAACACACACATACACACAAACAAATTTGCATTGAGTAATAGGAAGATTATGGACATATATGGATAATCTACAGACAGTATTACTTCAGTAACAGCGTCAGTTCAGGCACCATCGAAAGATCTACCCTACTCCACTAGTGTCACAAGAGGAAAGCAGTGTGAAACATGCAGTCTGTCATAGCTGAGATTTAGTGCAGTTTTTGGAAACTACAATTTCCTGGAAGCCTTTTGTGTTTCTGGTAACAGTACTCTTGTTTAAGACTAGCAGCTTTTCTTGCAAATTCCACTGACTTCAGTAAAACAGTATCTAAGACAGCGCTTTGAAACGTTCCCTAGTTCTCAGCTATACTTAGGAATGTAACCTAGGGTTGTGAACCTTTCCTATGTGGGAACAGTTTGGGTGTTCCATCTGAGGATTTCTTTTGTCAGGTGACTGCTTTATTTTGACAAGGAATGACATGACAAAAGCAAGACAAGACTTTTTGCATGCAGCACAGGGCTGTGATAAACAAGAGCTGAGAGGCACTCCCAACAGGGAAGCAGGTTAGTAGTCTAACACTGAGACTTGACATTAAGAAATTCCAACATCTGACACTACATGTGGCACAATGGGATTGTTCTCTAGAGTGCTCTTTACTCTCCATGCAAACAGAAATCTCCAAGCAAGGCATGTAGACATCTGTATACTATTAACTGACTCGCATTCACAAGCAACATCCAATGTGGCTGACAAGTTAATTTTAAAAAGCAAAGCTGACGACCCAAATTGAACTGTTGTTTAGGTACACAAATTAATACTAATCAATACAGTCAATATATTAATTTGTGGAGGTTATCAACCATTTTGCACTGCAGGCCAAACATAACTTTCAAGAAGTCTCAAAACTTGTGTAGCTTTTCAGTTACGAAGACAAGTATGGTCACATTTAAACTACAAATTGAAACAGCTTTAATTGTCCTTGCTTTCTGCAATGGAACTTTACTATTTCTGAAGGTGTGAGAGGTCTCAGTAGGAAATTCAGAAAACGACACTCCCTAGCTAAACAAGCTTTTTTTTTCAACCAAAAGTGATGTTAAAGTTTTTATTTTCTTAGTTATAACACTTACTAGTGGTTCGAGTACGTCTGTATAGAACCTAAAAGCTTTGGATTTTCGGTGTCAGTGGGTTGTCAATAGGTTCATTCTGAAGTGTTTATATTCTCCATATGTAGCTGGCTGGTTATACATACAATATATCTTCGAGTGAATCAAGTGGTTATTCTGGAGTTGTTAGGTGTTTGTGGATTTCTTAACTAACAAGGCTGCATTAGTGTGAACTTGAATTAGACAGTTATTTAATGCACACAAGTTTTTAACCCAAGTTTATATTGTAAAAGGTAGTATTAGGAGAACAAATACAAATCAAGTAAACCTGTGCACATCCATGCAGTTGAAAGACTTACCCCCAGATTTCAGACACTAGGCTTCTTGCTAAATTGGAAAACAAGAACAGTCAGTCCTTAAAGTAATATTTATTTTCTAAAAAACTTAAGTGCTTTCCTAAATTTAAGAGACTGATATTGACTATTTGAAACACCACTACTATAATGAATGTTCATAATAATGGAGATCGATATAGATCTCTCATAAGGTGAATTCAATCTGTCTCATCTCTTGATGCACCCAGATGTAAACCTCAACAGATTGAACGAGCGAGAAAGTAATTGTAGGAAGACTAGAATCCAGGTAAAGAAAACATTAAGATCCTTTATAGCAGTGGTTCTCAACCTGTGGGTCCCCAGGTGTTTTGGCATACAGCTCCCAGAAATCCCAGTCAGTTTACCAGCTGTTAGGATTTCTGGGAGTTGAAGGCCAAAACATCTGGGGATCCACAAGTTGAGAACCACTGCTTTATAGAAAGTTCCTTTATAGATGAATCAAATTATATTTTGGGTATTCTTCATCTTTTACTGCTGCCCCCACCCCCAAAAGATACATTATAATACCACCACTCCCTTCACAGTGTGATGTGGTATGAGAAGAGCACACCTATCCCCAATTGTTCGTACTGGACAGAACGACTAACCTATATGGACAATGGCTCTTGGAGCAATTAGTGAAGTGAACAATATGAGCACAGAAATCATCAAAATCTATTTGACAAAAAAACATCAAAATCAGGGGAGGGGATCAAATAAAGCCCAGACGAAACCAAGGGAAATCCTCTGAGAAATCGCCTTGGAAAACTAAGTAATGTATTGGTAGATGTGATGCATACTGAACCTAAAGGATAGAATTCTCAAAGATAAAATGAAAATTTTCTTGGATCAACTTAGGTTAAATGGAAGAGTTTTATGAATCTTTTACCATATAATTTTTCTGCCTGCAGAAGAATTAAGTGACATTTCAAAATTATCTTACTCAAAAATATTTTTACCTTCTCTCCATATCCTATTAAATATTGTCACTCTGGAAAAATAGGATCTTGCTGAACTAAGGGGGGAAAGGCAACAGAGGACACCTACCAGTACAACTTGCTCTCCAAGAATGCCAAATTGCTGCCAAAAGGCAAGTAAAACATTGAGAGAAATGGGAGTCCTTGCTATTAAAATGGACGAAAATTTCTGCTCTACCCAAAGTGTCAAGTATTCAGACACAAGTCCAAAAAAGGAATGGCATACCACAAAGGCAAAGAGATTTGATTGTCAAAGGCAGGTTGGGTGGTTTTTTTTCCTAGTCGGATTTACTCTTATTACTTGCTTGAACACAAAGCATTCAGCTTCATCCCTGCATCAATGAATCCCTAATTCCTTCAAATTATTAATTTGGCTATGTAGTATTCAACTTTTTGGTCTTTCCATTCATTCTTTTAAGGCCACAATCCAGAACCATTTACACAGTAAACTTTTTTAAAAAAATCAATGGGACTACTTCAAAGTAGAAAGACACCTTAATTAATTGTGGTGAAATCCTCACTTTTCAAGATAGGACTAAGTATCCAACCATTAAAAAGTACTGCTTTTGCTAATAACTTCTTTGTAAACACAAGCATTCTAGATAAATACAACTATAAAATATTTATAAGTATGGAACGTTTTGAAGTTCTCTGAAAGGTTTGTGCTTTACTCCTCATTATATAGGGGCTCATTCTTTAACTATTGCACATGACTCAACGAGAAACAAGCAGACTCACAGTAACTGCAGATTTTAAAAAATAATAAAAAAGCAAAAAAAGAGAGAGCCTTTAAAAAAGCAACTTTGAAACAAGTGTTATATTAACTATCTTTTAAAACAAGTAGAAATGTAATTCTTCACATGCTTAATATAAATACTTTAAAGACGAGTGAGAGCCTCCAATACTTGGGAAAATCCTTTCATCCCTGACTAGAACAAATATATCTTAATACAGAATTTTCTGAGAAGAGGAGGGAAGAAACTGTGCTGGATTTCTATACTTCCTGGACATATCTACAATTGCTAGATTTTGACTTTGCATCTCATCCACGGTAAAAACTAAAAGCTTTGGGGATTTTGTAAGTGTGCCTACCTTCATGTTATGGCTAATATACCTGAAGTATTCCTGTGGTGCTTGTAATCCTGGCAAACTGTTTTAACTACCAGAGGGCTAGCTCTCCTATAACAATCACCATTGCTTAAACAGAGCAACTCAGGTTACTGCTGAAAGTCCATGTTTTGCATGGCAGAGCAGACAGGACGTTCTCAAACTCCATTTATTTGTATTAGCACTCAATCTGAGACCGTGGCATTCTCCGCAAACTTAAGGAATGACGGTGAATCTCTTGCATCTGCCGGATCCGGTCCTTTTGCCACATTAGGTTTTGTGGCATTGGATATCGCTGGGTACCATGCAAGGACCGGAAGGGGATTCTTACGTGACAGGCTGTTGCACGGCATCGTGGCTGAGGCATAGGAGGGAGCAGCAGCCATCGTTTCCTCTCTGCACAATAGCGGTAAGCCTCTTTCCTGTATTGTTTGTCTGTGTCGTCACTATTTTTCCACCCACCTATGATGAAGACATCATCTTTATAATAACAGACAGCTGCCCCCTCAATGCTAAGCACCTCTGGTGGCAAGCTTTCCAGAATGTCATCAGATACTTGACCGGAGATCTTCCTCTTGACCTCTTCATGATCCAGGGAATAACTTCTGGGGCAGCATGAGGCGGTGTGGTAAAAGTTGGTGTTGGCTACAGCCATCTGAAAGCAGCAGTAGTTGTCAAGAAGAGGCAAAGACTCAGAATCCTGCCACTGTCTTGCATCTGCATCGTATCGGACAATGACACTCCTTAAGCCCTCTTCATTATCCCCATCTACAGGTGTGCGGGCAGCCATGTAAACAAACCTGTCATCTACTGTGATCACTTTAACATCCCGAAGTATCTTTGGTGCAGATTCCAAATTGTGCCACTTGTCTTGATCAGGGTGGTAGACCGCTACATCCTTGAACCCAGGAATAAAATTCCCATGCCCACCTATGCTATACAAGTTCCCTTTTACCTCTGTGAGTCCAAAAGAATGCTTTCTTGTTATGAGATTGGAAACCTGCTCCCAAACATTTCGATTTGGGTTGTACCTTTCTACAGTCTTGGCGAAGCCAGGCTCCATGGAACCTGCTACATAAACATAGGATTCTGTTACTACCACAGCATGTCCATCAAGATGATTGTGTATGTGTGGTAAGTTCACCCACCTATCTTCATCAATAAAATACCCCACACACTCGCTCAAGTAGTCACCTCCCTCAGATACGCCACCAATGACCATGATGACATCCATGTTTTGCCCAAAGCGAGGCAGTGAGGTTATGGAGGAAGTCACTTGTTGGAGGGTCCCTAACAGCAAATTCTCAGCTCTGAGTGCATGGCTTTCCACTGCTTCTGACACAAGTTTGAGGCACATTTCATTGCTGCAAACAAGCCTTTCAGATTTGACATGTCGGGTCAAATAAGTGGGTTTCATTTGTGATAAACGGAGCAGCTTAAAGAGCTCCCCAAAGTACTTTTCTCTTTCATCAGGATTTCTTTGAACCCACTTTACAACCATCTCAAACAGAACTTCTTCTGAGTCTACAGTGATTTCTATGTCTGAAAGCCAGTCTCTTATGAGGTGGAATGGCAAAGTGTAGAACTCCTCATCTTGAATGACTTTGTAGAAATTCCTCCTGATCATGTCAGCAGCTTTTAAAGCCAACTGGTTTAAAGAGTACATGTGAGCCAGGCTATGGATTGCCACAGAATTGGAGAGACTCAGCTTCTTCTTGAGGAATTCCCCACAGAAATCTTTCAAACGTAGCAGTAAAAACCTGCAAAAGAAGAAGACAGCTGAGACAGCTCACAAATAGGGTTGGAAACAAGTTACAACATGCTTTTCACACTGCAAGGAAACAAAAGCAACAAGTGTCATTATCCTTCTAATAACTTCTTAAATCTGGTTTGATTGTCCAACATCAAAGAATAACAACCCAGACAAAGCCATAATTCAATTTGACACAGAAAGCTTTCTGTAAGGTTTACAAAATGACGTGCATGATTATTTGTATAGCTTAATTTACGACTTTCTCTAATTGTGGATAAATTTCCCAGTGAAATTAGATCAGCCACCTCCCTCTTGACCTTCAGAAAGAAATTGAAAACTTGGCTTTGGGACCAAGCCTTTGGAGAATAATCAGTACAATAGGAGGAAATGAAGTAAGCGTAATATGATTGAAATGGCTCCTGGACTATGACTTCGGATTTGTGTGGTTTTAGTAGCTGATTATAATGTATTAATGTAATGTATTAACGTGCTATGATTTTTAAATTTTTAATAATTTTAATATTTGTGAATATTGTATTTGTTTGTATGGAATTGAATATTGCCAACTTGGAAGCCGCTCTGAGTCCCCTTCAGGGTGAAAAGAGTGGGGTAAGATCACTCGGGGAGGTCCTCCTCTCAATCCGACCTCCCTCACAGGCAAGGTTGGTGGGGACAAGGGAGAGGGCCTTCTAGGCAGTGGCCCCCGAACTTTGGAATTCCCTGGCCAAGGAAATTAGACAAGCACCTACCCTTATAACTTTTAGGAAGGAGCTGAAAACCTGGCTATTTAAGCAGGCTTTTGATAATGGCTAAGAGTATCAACCACCCTATTGAACAGGACTTTGAAGGGTTATTAAGACTATAATTTATAATGCTGGATACCCTGGTGTTAAATGGTCTTTACGTATATACTATATATATACTGGGGCCACGGTGGCACTGCTGGTTAAACTACTAAGCTGCTGAACTTGCTGATCAGAACATCGGAGGTTTGAATCTGCACAGTGGAGTGAACTCCCATTGTTAGCCCCAGACTCTGCCTATTTATTTATTTGTTTGTTTGTATTTATATTCTGCCCTTCTCACCCCGCAGGGGACTCAGCTAGGATTACAATGTACATATACATGGCAAACACTCAATGCCATAGACACACAGCATATATAGACAGACACACAGAGGCTATTTAACATTCCAGCTTTTTCATGAGGGTATTCTGACCACCAGGGGAGCTGTCGCTTCACCGTCCATTTGTGACACTGATGAAGTACTTCCTCATTCTTTGCATGCTTGCTGGTGATTTTTTTATGGCGTTTTAAATTAGCCTCCCCGCATAAGCGATACCTAAATTTTCTACTTGACTTGACAGATGGAATTGTCTTTCGGGCAGCAAGCTACACAAATTGGTTGGAAGCTCACGCTGACCTGGGCTGGCTTTGAACTCATGACCTTTTGGTCAGTAGTGATCTTAATGCAGCTGATTCCCAGCCAGCTGCGTCACATTTGAAAACATGCAAATGTGAGTAGATCAATAGGTACTACTTCTGCTGGCCACATGACCTTGGAGGTGTCTACGGACAGTGCTGGCTCTTCGGCTTAGAAATTGAGATGACCACCAACCCCCACAGTCGGACACAACTAGATTTAATGTGAAGGGAAACCTTTACCTTTATATATATATATACACACACACACATACACAGAGAAAGTTTTTAGAGGGCTTAATACTAATTTAAACTGTTTATTTATGTTAACACTACTGTGCCATTTTGTTTTTACTGATATGTGATTACTGTATGTGTATTATCATTTATTGAATCCGTTTCTTTATTGTAAGCTGGCCCTAGCCATCCCCTGCCACATGTTGCTGTGGTCCAGTCTGTGAATATGTGTTTTGTGTGTGATATATGTGTGTCTGCATATATATATGTGTGTGGTTTTGTGCATATGTTGTAATGTATTTTTTTTTGTTTTTTTGCTTTTTAAGTCCCTTCTGCTGTGTTTTTCAGTGTTTTTGTGAGTGATAGTCACTCATTGGCCTGATAGGTGTATTGTGTCCAATTTGGTGTTAATTCATCCAGTGGTTTTTGAGATATGTTAATCCCACAAATGAACACTACATTTTTATTTATATGGACTAGCTGTCCCCTGTCACGCGTTGTTGTGGCCCAGTCTGGTGATCTGGCAAATAAAGTAATGGTTTCTAATCTATGTAATTTATTTATGCTTGTGGGTAAACAGTATTTCTTGTTGTTTCTTTGTCAGTGTTGATGTGAAGAGTGTCTGGTTTGCCTACTCTAGAACATACAACATATAATTGTCATTCTGTAGGGGTCCCTTTCAAATCTATGATATTATATTTGTGTGTGTATGAATCCTATCTATCTATATTTATGGCTGGATGGCTCTTTGTCAGGAGGGCTCTGATTACATTTTCTTGCCCTGGTGAAGAGAGTTGGACTGGATGACCTTAAGTATTTTCTGTTGGCCATGGGGGTTCTGTGTTGGAAATTTGCCCCAATTCTGTCGTTTATGGGGTTCAGTTATAGGATTGTTCATCTTTGATTGTAGATGAACTATAAATTCCAGTAACTACAACTCTCAAATGTCAATCTTTATTTCCCCCCATATGTATTCCATATGTATTCATATTTGGGCATATGGAACATTTGTGCCAAGTTTGGTCCAGATCCATCATTGTTTGAGTCCACAGTGCTCTCTGGATGTAGGTGAACTACAACTCCCAAACTCAAGGTCAATGCCCACCAAACCCTTCTGGTGTTTTCTGTTGGTCATGGGTCCTGTATGCCATGTTTGGCTCAATGCCATAATTGGTGGAGTTCAGAGTGCTCTTTGATTGTAGGTGAACTATAAATCTCAGCAACTACAACTCCCAAATTACAAAATCAATTTTTTTTAGTGAAGGACATACATTTGGTTGTTAGGTGTATTGTGTCCAAATTTGGTGTCAATTTATCCAGTGGTTTTTGAGTTCTGTTAATCCCACAAATGAACATTACATTTTTTAATTTATATAGACTAGCCATCCTCTGTGGCCCAGTCTTTGTATATGTGTTTTATGTATGTATATGTGTGTGTATATATTTGTGTATGTGTATATGTGGTTTTGTGCATGCGTTGTCATGTAATTTTTGTTTTTTGGCTTTTTAAGTCCCTTCTGCTGTGTTTTTCAGTGTTTTTATGAGTGATGGTCACTCGTTGGCCTGATAGGTGTCTTGTGTCCAAATTTGTGTCAATTGATCCATTGGTTTATGAGTTATGTTAATCCCACAAACGAACATTACATTTTTATTTATATAGATCAGGGGTCCTCAAACTAAGGCCCGGGGGCCAGATGCAGCCCTCCATGGTCATTTACCCGGCCCTCGCTCAGGGTCAACCTAAGTCTGAAATGACTTGAAAGCACACAACAACAATGACAACAATCCTATCTCATGAGCCAGAAGCAGGCCCATAGTTCCCACTGAGATACTAATAAGTTTATATTTGTTATATTGTTCATCATTTTAATTATTGTATTGTTTTTAAGTGATTTTTGCACTACAAATAAGATATGTGGCATGCATAGGAATTCATTCATGTTTTTTTTTTCAGATTATAATTCGGCCCTCCAACAGTTTGAGGAACTGTGACCTGGCCCTCTGTTGAAAAATTTTGTGGACCCCTGATATAGATTATTATTACTTTGATAGTGCTTTCCCTGCCTGGCAGGGGGTTGGACTAGATGACCCATGTGGTCTCTTCCAACTCTATTATTGTGTGATTCTTGGAGGGTTAATTCTTCCCTATGCTATGCAAAGGTTGATAGATATGGCTAGCGTTACACTTGCAAAAGTTACAACTAAGAACTCAACTTAAGAACAAACCCACAGAGCCTATCTCGTTCGTAACTTGGGGACTGCTTGCACAATGCCCTCAAACTCCCCCCAGGCCCCACCTGTCGGCCAGCTCTAGGACCTCGTGGACGTTGCCGGGGCTGACGCGGACTCGGCCCGTGTACATGAAGCTGATGACGGCTTCCACCGTCTCCGGATCCGGCCCGGCCTCGGAGCTCCATTTCCGCAGCTCTACGCGGCCCGAGCGGGACTCGGCGAAGTCCCCCGAAAGCAGAGGAGCGAAGTACTCGGTGGCGGCGGCCAGGACGGAGCGGTGCGCGCGGAACTCGCGAGGGGGCGGGTCCGCGCGCGAGGAGGCCCCGCCCACTCCGCCGCTCTCCCCGCCGCCGCCGCCGAAGGCCAACGTGACGTCACAGAACAGGCCTAGGCGCCGTTGCTCGTTCTGCCGGCAGGCCAGCTCGGAGCAGTGGGCCACGCAAGAGAAGACCTCCGAGTCGGGCTCCGCCTCCGCCCCGGACTCGCCTTCCGCGCCGAGGGCGCTGCCGCTCTCCGGAGCGCCGTGCCCCCCGCCGTCCAAGTCCCCTCCACCTCCAGCCGCCGCCATCTTGGTTCTACCCCCTCAACCAACTCCAACAGGCGCTCCCTCGGCGTGGTGACGCCCGAGTGACGTCACTGACGTAAACGTAGAGCTATGGAAACAGAAGATGGAACTGGCCCACTTGAAAATCTCACAATTGTTTACCATGGATTTGTCTTCATAGACCTGTCAGCGGTTTATGATAGTGCAATATTTCTCAACCTGGGGGTCGGGACCCCTGAGGGGGTCGTGAGGGGGTGTCAAAGGGGTCGCCAAAGACCATCAGAAAACAGTATTTTCTGTTGGTCAGATGGCCATTAAACAGAGGCTGGATGGCCATCTGTCAGGGGTGATTTGAATACAATATTCCTGCTTCTTGGCAGGGGGTTGGACTGATGGCCCATGAGGTCTCTTCCAACTCTATGATTCTATACTTTACTATTGATCATGTATTTAAATCTGTGTTCCAAGTTTGGCTCAATTCCAACATTGGTGAGTTCAGAATGCTCTTTGATTGTAGGTGAACTATAAATCCCAGCAACTACAACTCCCAAATGTCAAGGTCTATTTTCCCCAGACTCCACCAGTGTTCACATTTGGGCATATTGAGTATTCATGCCAAGTTTGGTCCAGATCCATCATTGCATGAATCCACAGCACTCCTCTGGATATAGGTGAACTACAACTCCCAATCTCAAGGTCAATGCCCACAAAACCCTTCCAGTGTTTTCTAATCATCATGGGAGTTCTGTGTGCCAAGTTCTGTTCAATTCCATCATTGGTGGAGTTCAGAATGCTCTTTGATTATAGGTGGACTATAAATCCCAGCAACCACAACTCTCAAATTACAATCCTCCCCCAACCCCACTAGCATTCAGATTTGGGCATAATTGGTTTTTCTGCTCAATTTAGTCCAGTGAATGAAAATACATCCTGCATATCGGATATTTACATTACGATTTATAAAGTAGCAAAATGACAGGTATCAAATAGCAACAAAAACAATATTATGGTTGGGGGTCACCACAACATATGGAACTGCATTAAGGGGTCACAGCATTAGCAAGGTTGAGAACCACTGTGATAGTGTAAACCACTGCCTCCTCCTGAGAAAAATGTATAGTATCACAAAGGACTACCACCTCACCCGCCTCATAGGAAACCTGCTACAAAACAGGAGCTTTTTTGTTGAGTTCCAGAGAAGCAGATGGCGGAAACAGAAGAACGGCCTGCCCCAGGGGAGCGTGCTTGCTCCATCCATGTTCAACATTTACACAAATGACCAGCCACTGCCAGAAGGGACAGAGAGTTTCATCTAGGCCCATGATGGTGAACCTATGACACACGTGTCAGCACTGACACACATGGCTATTTTTGATGACACACAGACACAAATGGTCGCATACAGAGAAGTACACCTTATAAGAGCCAAACTAATTCCATCCTTAAGTTTGTAAAAGGCTCTACAAATTTAACATATGCACGTTTGAGCATTGTTTACTCCATAACTCAGCATGAATTATACATTTTTCTTATTTAAACTATAAATATTGCAAAATTATGTTTTTTCTCTCGAACTGACACCCAAATTATGCTCTGGTTTTTGGCAAATTTTGACACACCAAGCTCTAAAGGTTGCCCATCACTGATCTAGGCTGATGATCGTCCCATCACCACTCAAGCAGGGAGCTTTGAGATGGTTGAACAGAAGCTCTCTGAAGCTCTAGGTCAGGGGTCCTAAAACTTTTTAAACAGGGGGCCAGGTCACAGTCCCTCAAACTGTTGGAGGGCCGGATTATAATTTGAAAAAAACATGAATGAATTCCTATGCACACTTTCTTTAGGCGATCCCTTGTTGGCCAAGTAGGATAGTCTTCCAGGATCAGAATTCTTGTGAGTCTGTAGGTGGCTGTGGAGCCCTATTCTTGATCTGCATCTTCTTCCGCAGTGAGGGCATTGGTTTCCAGGTGGAAGGCAGTATTGTATTTCAGTGTCAATGTTAACTTTTGTGGAGAGGTGGCTGCCAAGGTAGCAGAAATGATCAACGTTTTCTAATGTTACACCATTAAGCTGTATTTCTGGCATTGGAGAGGGGTTGGCTGGTGACTGCTGGAAGAGTACTGTGGTTTTGTGTGAAATGTCCAGGGTGAGAGAAAGAACTGTTGTCTGTTTGAGGCAGGTGTGAATGTTGCAATTGGCCACTGTGATTAGCATTAAATAGCCTTGCAGCTTCAAAGCCTGGCTGCTCAGCTTTTGTATATGGTTCCTATACTGGCAGTGCATAATACCCCTGTCAAAGACATTACATTAACCACTTTTTTGCTAGGAAAACATGCTGAAAGTTTTATTGTTAAATCCTAAAGCCTGGTTAACTGACAGACAACTGTCTTCATTTTTAGCTCCATTTCCATATAAACCTGGCCTTGCCCAGATATACTTGGGACCCCTGCCTGACTACTTTCTCCCTTCTCCGGCTTTGAGATGTCTCCATGGCAACATAGCTCTCATTGTGACTCATAGAATCACAGAATTGGAGGAGACCTCATGGGCCATCCAGTCCAACCACCTGCCAAGAAATAGGAATCTTACATTCAAAGCACCCCCGACAGATGGCCATCCAGCCTGTTTAAAAGTCTCCACAGAATAAGCCTCCATTACAATCTGGGACAGAGAGTTCTACTGCTGAACCAGCTCTCACAGTTAGGAAGTTCTTCCTAATGTTCAGGTGGAATCTCCTTTCCTGTAGTTTGAAGCCATTGT